TAATAAAATAGGGTTAGAGGAGAAGGGTGATTCATTCGACTTCTTCTTCTCTTACCTCTTCTCTTCGACATACACAGCTCTTGCACTATTATTCAGATCTGATTTGCACTGTTAATTACTGATTTTAAACCTGATATTAGAAGACTGATTCACATCTCTTATATTTCTATATGTTCCACCAAAATTTTTTAATCATTTTTCATATCACAAATTTCGTGGGCTTTTCATGTGGCAACCATGTATGTGCACTTAAATGCATTAAATAACAATATTCTGTTTCCTGTCTTGGGAAAGAACTTCTATATTCTTTTTTATATTATTTAATTAAAAGGAAAAATGAAACATAAGAAACATAAAGTTACACACATATGCATGTATTATGTATGTATTTATGTATTACATTTTAGTCACCCTATTTTATTACACTTTTAAACTGGAAATTCAAAGTTCTTGTTATTTTTTTTTTCAGATACTTGCATTATGAATAACCCTAAATTTGACCCTTGAAGTTGATTAATTTTCAGATGTAATTGTTGTTTCTTGTTTCCTTTAATGTCTTATTAATCTAAAGTTATTTTGATAAAAGAAAATCTTATTTCAGTCACTTCTTTTTCATGTATAACATGATTAGCATAAATGGAGACTCTTAATACCAAAAACCTTGTAGAATTACCGATGGACCAGGAATGCTTCTGCTTCTCAGTTGCACCTGTACATTCAATTCTGAATACTTGAATATGCTGTTCCAAGAAGTAGATAACTTCTAGAACTGCCGAAACCTTGGTAGCAACTATTAGAGCCAAAATAGTACACTGTAACTCTTATTTATCTTGATAATACATAGTGTCTCTTATCTGATCATAGTTGTAGAGGCACCAAGGCAAAACTGGGCAAAAGGGGAGTGCCTAGCCACCTAGGCAACTAGGTGATATTTTTTTTGAACCTGAGTTCTAGGTTGATTCCCTTGTTTTCATAGTAACCAGATATCATCTTTTACTAAGAATTGGTGGTAATCTTCATCAATTATAAACTTCATATCAATACATAGAAAATCAACATGTTCATGAGAAGTACAAAGTAGAAGAGTAACAAATATATACATCTCAGTCCTATCAGTAGCTCTTGTGTGTTGATTAATAAAAGCCTTCAAGTTCTTTGCATATGGCTTAAGGTTTTCAAGTCTTCAATCCCCATGGGCACTCAGTCACCTAATCATTGTCTATGTGGGTGGCATCACCTTGACAACTGTGCATCTAATCTTGATATAACATGAAAAGTCTTGTAAAGTATCATTTTAGCTTCTTATTCTTCAGAAATTTGATTTATACGCCCATATATGTTTCATTAACCAAGCAATGGGTGCTTCTTGTAGATAAAATGTCGTAATGTGATCATTCTTACTGCAACAAATATTACTGAGCTGGACAAGCAGTGGGACTGTCTGATTGAACTAACCAGTTCTAGTGGCCCTCTGATTTTGATGAAACCATTTGTATCTAAGCAGTTGTCTACAACTCTTACTGATGTATGTGTTAACCTTCTTAATTCATTCCACAGTTAATGTATTTGCTTATTTCTTCATTTTTTAGTTACATATTACTGGGAAGGCTTTATTTCATAAACTATTCTCTGGATATACGGATTTATAACTTAGGAAAGTTCATTATCATATCTAGGACCGGTAAAACATCATATCCTTTTGAGTGGCTATATGGCTAGAGATAAGAGATATGAAGATGTCATACACAAAAATATATGTGCCTTTACATGGATGGACATTGATTTTCATGTAGGTTGCAACTTGGATAGGTATGATTGGATTTAGGACCATTGAACACTTTGATTGTTACTACAAGGGCAATAACCATGTTGTCTTAAAGACAACTTGATTCTCTAACAACTAAACTCAGGTGAAATTGTTGGGATTATTAGACACAATTTCTTACAAACTTGTCTTTTACTGTTTGTAAGCTAAGATTAATAGGTCTTTCCAGGCCCCAATCCAGGCACGACTGTATGTTAAAAAGAATCATTACAGCACAGTCAAAATTTAGGTTTTGTCAGGGCAGATTGAGTTTGGTCCAACCAAAGCTGAACCACTAAGTACATAGTACAGGTCGTAGAGATGCTATGTAATGTACTTGGAAAAAGTTGACCTATATGAAATACAACCTACATCAACTTAAAGTAGCAAGTATATATGGTGCACAACTGTAAATAATTGGTACTTCCCCAGTATACAAATGGAAAAAGCATGTGCTGGAATAAGCTAATTTTTTATGAGACATACATGGGACTTGAACAAGTGCTCAAAACCTGGGTGGTACAGTTAGAAAAAAGATGTCTAAATAAAAAGGTGGGTAAGGGAGAATGAAGCTACTCCTGGATGTATCACTGTGGTTTGCACAGTTACAAATACGTAATGCCTTACAGTTTGTGTTGATATCTAATCAATTTTCATGCCCCATGTTATGCCAGGTAGAAACTGCTCAGACTCTATCTAAACTATGTCTTGAATTCCCAGATCTTTACATCGGTAAGAATATTTTGAATCTCAGGTCTGCATTTTCCAAGATGAGTCCTCAACCCATCATCCAAATTTTCTCTTAAATATATGCTGTATTTTTTTAATGATTATTTGTTTGCATTATTCAGGTGCTTTTCGCAAATCCAGAGTTGGGCCCCTTATCATTAGTTTCGTGGGGAAGGTATATAAATTCATAAGGCTATCAAGCAATTTAAGTCATTTTACATCTTAGAGCAATCTGCTCAGTTCAGGGTCAATTATTTGTTGTAGGACCAAGCTAGAACAGAGATGGCTGTGCAAGCATTATGCCAGAAATTTCATCCAGGAGCATTTTCTGAAGTCAACTGCTGGTGATTTTCCTCTTGTTTTATGGCACTACCTGTCAACTTCTGGACATCTATTGGGGAAGCCTATTTTGACAGAAAAAAATGCTCACTTTACCTCCAATCTTTTATGGAGGTAGGACATGATATGGTTCTACATTGAATTGAGTGAGAGAAAGAAGATTTGCCAGGCTTGTGATTGGATGAAGGAAAACAGAAGGCTGAATGAAAACTATTCTCCCACATCCTAGGCAATGCCCTTATAATTTAAGAAAGGAAATATTGATATAGCTATCAGGAGGAACAGGCCAATAAAAGGGTCCTAGAAGTAGTTCTTGGAGAAAGGAATTTAGTTCACCACTGGATTTATTAATTCTGGTTTGAACTTTGAAGTATACCCATTATGACTAATTTCCGAGGAACCGTCATTTTTTTTCACTTGCAGTTTCATTTCACTAACTTGTGCAAGCTGTTTTCAGTTCTGTTTAGTTTTAACTAGACCAATTAAGGTGAATCCAACATCTGTATCAAAAAAAAAATGCGAATCCAACTGAGATGATGTAAAGCCCTAAATAATGTGAAAAAGAACTGTTTTCAGTTCTGCTTGGTTTTGACTTGGATGATTATGACATGAATGATAATGATTTCAACTTGGTAGACTGATGCCAGTTTGCCATGAATTTCTAGCAGTCTGGGCAATGGGTGTAGCGGAAGACTTCAATCCTCTTCTGACTTGTGAGGTCCTTTAGCTGACACTAGAGAATAAAAGCCAAGGGGGGGGTAGTTGGGTGAAGTTCCCTGATGAATCTTCACCATTCCTGCTAGTGTTCCCTGATGAACCTTCATGGATCTTGAATACATATTAGTATTCATACACTTCTTATTCTGCCCTTGTTTCTGATATTATTGATTGTTTTTCTTTTCCCTTTTCTTACCTTTTTTATTTGGCATCAATAAGGTCAGTGTCCATATCAGATTGCAAATCTTCACCAGCCTTTACACCTTTTATCCTTGAATTGCTAAGCTTCTGGTGCAGTTCAAAATTACTTCCCAATATCCCAACAATGTTAGCAGGTCCTTTTTTTTCACAGTTTTTTGGTGGGTAATTCTTTTCATTTTTTGGAGTTAAAAAAAGTTCCTAAAAAGAAAGTGATAGTAATAAATAACACAAGCAGAAAATTAAAAGAAAGAATACCTCTCTAGCAAAGCTGTGTGGTCGCTTCTACAGAGAACTCCTAAAAGCATTTGCTCTGGTAGCCATAAAATGCGCTGGTGGTGCTGCTGCCCTTGTTAAGCTACCATTAGTAATAAGGTTATATTCCATAAACAGCAGGTGTTGTTACCCCAAATGCCTAAAAATAGCGACTTCAGATTTTACAAACACCATAAGCGATTATATTCAGTTCCTAGGAATTTATCCCAAAAATTGAATTGAGGAAGCAACCCAAGAAAAGTCTTGCAGCGAAAAAAAAACACGCCAATAAAAGTCTCATCTAAAGCAAATAGGTCAGTTCAACAACTCCCCCTCTGAAAGCCTTTTCTCCGCATGATAATGGCGAATTCTCCTGTCTGTGGTCTGTGCTGCATTGTCACGGTCTGACACAGTTAGCCTTGCCTTACGCTTGGCGGGTTAGAACTACCCCCGTGACAGCATGGCAATCCTAAATTACATTGTAAATTCATTTAATTTAATTTTGATTTTCCTTTTTCTGAAAATAAAAGAAAAGCACCTCGACTAATATAATTTTAACGGAAACATAATCAGATAATATAATTAAAAAAAAAAAGAACTACAAGTCCGGGTATTACATTCCTATTTCATCTATATCTGGCAATGGGAAGCGCAAAATTGCACCGATTCACGAAAATATGTGAACCTTCGCTCCCGATATCTCAACTGAGTTTACCAAGTTCTCATATTTTTTCCTCGTCTCCACGTTACGACTTCTGAAAAGCTCATCTGTGATTAGTAAGGTCTGGATAGCCATCAGCTCATGTGCAATCTCAACGTGCTTGGTCCCGTAACAAATCTTACCTGAATCATCGTTTGAAAGCAATTCCATGAAATTCTTGAGGGCCAAAACGTCCTTGGCTGCCTAGGCATCTCTTACCAGAGACATGATGGTTGAATCACTTAACACTTCCTTCAAACTGTGTTTGTCTCCTGACGTGGTGTTAACAACAAATATATGCGATTTGATATCGATGATTTGTCTAAGCCGCATCCTCTCTGCTTCAGAGAGGAGGTATCGTCGAAATTAATCCTTGATAGAACCTGGGCTTCCGATCGCCACGCAACGAACACTGCTGAAATCAACATGCTTCAGAAAACTTGCTCGAAGAAGTCCTTCGAATCCATCTTACCTCCATTGGCACCACTCCTTCCTCCACCCTTGCGTGAATCCATTGGATTCGGATTTTGACCCCCAGCTTCAATCCGAGCACAAAGCGTATTTGAAGCCTTTCCTACCAAGAAAACATGAGCAATCCCTTCTTGCATCAGAACCACTGCTAATTCAGCACCAACACCACGACTGCATTTCTCTGCCAATGCATCTAAAGCTTCCTTATCCCAAGCTTTCTTCGTTATCTCTAGAGGCTTATTTAGCTCAATTTGCAACGTGTGAAACACGCCAGTCAAGACGAACTCATTCTTGGTCGTGGTCTTACCACGCACTCGCAACACTGAGCCCTGTTGATCGTATTCGAGCCTTCGAGGCTAACAACTTTGACGTCGAACCTCATCTTCACCCTTGTTGCCGAACCCATCTGAACCTTCCGAGTGTCCTCAGATGAAATCGTATCACCTTTGGATGCCAAATTGTATGTGAACCAGACAGAGGTCGTCTGGTTCCTCGGGGATTATCGCCACTGTACCAG